TCATCTCAGAGACGGAATGAGCGCGAAGGTTCTGCAGGAGGAAGTTTCTGCGTCTCTGAGCAGAGTAGTGGACACAGCGGAGGGGGGGCTGACTGTGTTTAAGGAAGAGCCTGTGGGAGAGGAGGATGGAGGCGGTAAGCTTGGAGCCACCTGCTGCACCCAAACGGCCCCTAGATGCTGATCACAATGTCTTCTCTCCTTCTGTCTGTTTTCCAGGTGAGCTTCTGTTTGAGGGGAGGGGCTCACCTGAGCTGCAGCTCCACGGAGATCTGGCGCAGTACGCGGCCACTTTACGCACGCACCCCGTGGCCTTCACCGGCAGGTTCTCAGTGGAGTCCAGGGGAGCAGGAGAGCCGTGGACATCCGGAGACACCATCAACGTGGTCAGCGCTGACATCGGCAGTAACGCGCCTGCTGCGCCCTCTCCAGGTATCTACGCACCTGAAGCAGGAGGCGGCGGCATGGCGCACGGCCCGCCGGACATCAGCCACATGTACGCGCCCGCGCATCCGCACCCCCACACCGCGCCCTCCTACTCCTGCAGCGGGGACATGTACCAGGACCCGTCAGGTGGGGGGTACCTGCCCCCCTCCACCTGCTCCGTGTCCTATCACCCCCCACAGGCCTACACATCAGCGCCCAAACCCAGCGTGGACGGCCCTGCGCTGCTCTCCATCATTCCAGAGTACGGAGGCTTCTACCAGCAGAGCTGCCAGAGGGACCTGCAGACCGCCTTCCCGGACAGGAAGTCCCTCCCCTACACGCTGGACCCCCTCAGGGTGCCTCCGCCTCTCACGCCGCTCAACACCATCAGGAACTTTACGCTGGCTGCTCCTCCCGCCGCCGTGGAGGGCCCGATGGCTGCGGCCTTCCCCAGCCACCAGAACCTCCCCCTCAGACCCATCCTGCGGCCCAGGAAGTACCCGAACCGGCCGAGCAAGACGCCGGTCCACCAGAGGCCCTACCCCTGCCCCGCGGAGAGCTGCGACCGCCGCTTCTCGCGCTCCGACGAGCTGAGCAGACACCTGCGCATCCACACCGGACACAAGCCGTTCCAGTGCCGCATCTGTATGCGCAACTTCAGCCGCAGCGACCACCTCACCACGCACATCCGCACGCACACCGGGGAGAAACCCTTCTCCTGCGAGCAGTGTGGGAGGAAGTTTGCGCGCAGCGACGAGAGGAGGAGGCACATGAAGATCCACCAGCGGCAGAAGGAGAAAAGGTCCTAAATCCTCCTAAATGCTCCTGGAGGAGGAGGGAGATGCTGACACACCGCCTGCAGATCAGGACCAGAAAGTGAAGATAATCTAACAGGAACATCTCCTTATTTATGACCTTAGAAAAACTGCAAACATCCCAACAGATGGTCAACAAGTTTATAGCTTAGTAAATAATTAGAGCAGATGGTGATGATGATGATGATGATGATGAGGTGTCTGTGCAAACCTTAGAGGAGTCTCCCTGCCTTCCGTGTTCCGCTCCAGAACCTTTCTGTGTTCTGATGCTCTCAGGGATCCAAACCGCAGAGTCACAAACAGAGAGGGTTGATGGAAGCAGCTCAGGACTCACAGCTTCAGGCAGAACTTCCAGCTTGTTTGCACAGGAAGTGAAGAAGAAGAAGGAAGAAGATGTCGGACTGAGAGCAGAAGCCTGATGATCTGCAGCTCCACTGGTTTTATCTTTGGTTTCCAGTTTACAAAAAGATCTAGAAATAAGTCAACATTTCCTTAATTAAGTGTATTTGCTGTTAATTTGAGCAGGTAAATGAGATGATTTGCCAATGGAATGAGCATTTTTATTTTTAAACTAAGATATTTAGATGAAATGCACTTGAAATAATATTCATTTTAAGTGTAAATTGTCTTGTTCCATTGGCGAAATGTCTCTTTTATCTCCTCAATCCAATGCATTTATTTTAAGAAAAATGACTTATCTAGATTTAGATTTCTTTTCCCAGTTTAACGTTTTTACCTGAAGAAAGTCTGATTCTCCAGAGCTTCTGTTGTGCTGATTTTTTCTTATGCAAACGCAGCGAGCCATAAAGCAGCTGATGCTTCTTGTTGATGCAAATAAATGTTGGTTTGTTCAGGAGTTTTTGGTGATTTATTGTTTTAGAGGATCTGAGGTGTAATAGAAACATCAGAGAAGAGAAACAGATGCTCAGTCTGACACACCGAGGATTTTTCAGTCCCACTGAAAAAACAATGCAACCGTTTTTTGGGATTTACTTAATAATATTTAGTTACTTTTACACAATTGCTTTATGTCCTATCCTGCTAACATGGGACTATTGTGTTAAAGTGAGTAAATATTGTCAGAGTCTTGGTTTGTTAGTTCCTGTTTTTCTTGGTTTTCCATTTGTTGTCCTCTGCTGCCCTCTTGTGTCCTCTTTCCCTTGCTCTTTTTTCTGCTCTGCCCTCACCTGTTTCCAATCCCCTCGTTAGCCCTCTCTTTGTCCCTGTCCCCTTTTAAAGCCCTCCCTCTTCACTTACTGTTTGCTGGATCCTCGCCTAACGTCTGCCTGCTTTCCTCGTCTCTCCCTGGCTCCTAGAGTTTTGGTTTACCCCTGATGTCTCCTTGGTTCTGGTGCGTTTGTTATTTTCTGTTGGATTTTGATTCCTGCCTCCGTTCCTGTGAACCTTAATAAACCCACTTAAATTCACCTCTGCCTACTGGCCTCTGCATTTGGGTCCTCCAAACCAACACCGTTTCATGACAAATAGTCAGTGTTGTGCCTGAACGCGTTCATTGAACGAAAGTTCATGAACTCGTTCATATTTTGGGCAAACGTGAACTGAACGTACTGCATTATTGCCTGATGAACGTTATTGTGAACTCGTTCATTTTGGTGTCTGTGAACGGCACGCTCTCTCAGTTCAACTCCGTTCAATAGGTTGCCAGATTTCTATAAAGCCCTCCAGGCGAAACCCCGGCTAAATCACACCGTAAACAGGCCTTAATATGTAGCGGGAAAAACACCCAATCTGGCAACACCAGCTACCAGCGTCGTAGCCTACAGCCGCGTGCGTCATCAAAACAAAATGCAGCGTGGAAGCCACAGCAGCATGGAGGCGACTTAAAACAGGTTTATGACCAGGTGGTCGGTGAGGATGATGGCAACAAGTTTGCCCGCCGGCTTTCAGTAAAAAAATCCGCACTTCGGTAACCTTAAATTCCTCCCTCAGCCTGGTCCCTCAGTTTGTGTTAGTAAAATCTTCTTGAGCGGAGGTCTTCAACAGGGGATCCGCGACCCCTAGGGGTCTACGGAGGTACTGCATGAGGGTCTGCATGGTTAGTTGATATTTTTATATTCCCCCCCTGCAATTTTTTCCCCCACTAATTGAAATGTCTTTAAATACTCATTAACATGAAATCAACACACTGTAGTAAACAGATAAATGGAGACAAAAGATGTCTTTCAGTCATCAATGCACACATTCAGCGACACACAGGAGCTCTTTCAAGCTGGGCACCGTTTCCTTCACAACAACCAGGAATCAGAATCAGAAAAACTTTAATAATCCCAGGGAGAAATTAATTTCTTTACATTACTCCATCTGTAATAGAGTGACTATAGGACACAATTTCATACAATATATATAGTTAGGGGGTCCCCGCTCCATCTCGCCATCAGTTTGGGTTAGACCCCTGTTCTTGAGGGTTTTACTATCCATGTAACTTGTTTGTTAAACCTGCCTGGTATAAATTTCCAGGATTCCAGTATTCCTTTTTAGTATGTATTAAAATGGAATTTCAAATGGAAAAAATTAATAAAATAAAAAAAAAACATTTGCACCTTAAAGACTACTTTCCTATTTTTCTTTTAATAATTACTCATAAAAAAGACCATTCAAGCAGCACATTTTTCCTGATGTTTTTGAGAATATACTGTAGGGGTGAAAGCTGCAGCTGCTACTAGTGTGAAGTGAATGGACAGCAACAAAGCGTTAAAGCAACAATGGGGAAATCTGTCCCCTCAATGCTAATGTAAACCCTGGTTGGATAAGGATTCAAAACTGGATATGAAGATGAAATCTGACGCACAGTTTCAGAGTTACAACTGATAAAAGAATTGCTGTCTGTGGTTCTACAGTAGGCTATGGTGTAATTGAGCAATATATGAAAAAAAAAAAAAGAACTATGAACTAGTTCATTTTTTGGTTTTGAATTATGAACTATGAACTGAACTAGTTCATTTTAAAATGTGTGAACTGAACTTTGAACTAGTTCACGTAGAAAGAGAACTTTCCCAACACTGCAAATATGATTAAGTAGATGCCAAAAATGGTCGCATTATTTTGGTTCAGCTTTAACGACACTGCAAAAAATGAAATCTAATTAAGTAATTTTTTCTTAAAATAAGTGGATTTGTTCTTAAATTGAGGGTAAGTGAGACACTTTGCCAATAGAACAAGACAGCTTACATTTAAAATAAGGGAAAAAATTGCATTGTCTTATTTCAAGTGCATATTATCTAATTATCTTATTTTAGGGGTAAAAATACTCATTTACTACTATATAATACTATAATAATATACTCAATTAAGGGGTAAATACACTTAATTTAAGAAATTTGTACTTATTTCTAGACTGTTTTTGCAGGGAAACCAGGTTCTGCACTGCAAAAACGATCTAAAAATAAATAAAAAATTCTTAAATTAAGTGTATTTTTCCATAATTTGAGTAGGTCAATATGATGATTTGCCAATGAAATTAGTATATTTTCTCTTAAAATAAGATAATATGAACTTGAAATAGGACACTGCAATTGTTTTTTCTCATTTTAAATGTAAATTGTCTTGTTCCACTGGCAAAATGGCTCACTTTCGTCCTCAATTAGAGGAAAAATGCACTTATTTTAAGTAAAAATTACTTAATTAGATTTCCATTTTTGCAGTGCACTGCAAAAATAATCTAGAAATCAGTAAAAATGTCTTAGATTAAGTGTATTTACCTTTAATTTGAGCTGGTTAATACGATGATTTGCCAATGGAATGAGTATTTTTACTCTTAAAATAAGACAATTTGACTGTGTTTTCTTATTTTAAGTGTAAATTGTCTTGTTCCATTGGCAAAATGTCTCTTTTTCCTTCTCAGTCCAAGAACAAATGCACTTTTTATTAAGAAGAAATGACTTGTCTAGATTTGGATTTTTTTCCAGTGTGTGATAGTTAATCAGCCCCCAACCAGAATCAAACCTCCTAAAGCATTGAACCATGATGTCAAACCTGAGGCGTGTGGGCCTAATCCAGCCCGCTGTGGTAATTTATCGGGCCTTCGAGAACAAAGAAAGACTAAAGCGGCTAAATAAATAATCACAGCAGATCCTTTTTTTTTCACTAAATAATGAAATCCAACCTTTTATTAACGCAGCACTGTGGCATGAGGAGCGGGTTTGAAGAACCGCGCCATACCAGGGCCCCTGCCATACAAAGGCCCCTAATGCAGGAGCACAGCCTCTGATCAGGGACCCCTTAAAGCCACAGATAATGCTAAAGAATTTATTTATTTTTTTCTAAATGTATTCCATTTTCTCTAATTATTCCATTTGTTTAACATAAGTCTATTACCTCACATCAGGGGTCTGCAGCCTGTGGCTCCAGAGCCAGAAGTGGCTCTATGGACCTCCTAAAATGGATCCTTAATGTAAATAAAAAATAACAAGAACCCACTGATTTGGTATAATAAAAAATACCAGATAATTTTATCATTATTTTTTGTTGTTGTTGCATTTTCAGTGTTTTAACGAACAGTGTCTACTGTATAGGCACAGAACAGAACAAACGCAAACATATAACATGGTGCAAAAGGTGGTTGATCAGTCTTATACTGTTCAGGCCCACAGCAAGAATCTTAATAGTGTGGAGGAGAGGTCCGGTCCAATATAGTCCAAAAATACTCTGTAAAACGGGTCTTCGCTGTGATGCATGACATTAGTTAGATATTCCAGAGGAATTAGTTCAAAAATAATTTTACGCCAACCACAGACAGAAGGAACATTGTCACTGACCCACTGCAGAAGAATAGTTTTTCTAGCTGCAAAGGTTAAGATGTTGTACAGACTTTTGTTGGCTGCTGTTTTCAGACAGGCACACGGCAGACCCAGAATCCAGGATGTGGGGTCCATGTCTAAATTAACCCTCTCAGGCTCAAATTAAGTTATAGCTCCAGGAAATACCTGATATGTGGAGAAAATGATCATATATAGTTGTAATATACAATTCAGACTTTTTTTTTTTTGAGAGAGACCTTCACTTGCAATGAATTCTGGGATGTTGCAGATTTGCAACAGTGGCCCGGAGTGGTAAATTAACACTCAAGACTGAATCTGATATGAATGTTAACTTTATTTGAAAATCCAAACAAAACATTAACAAAACAAAATTCGAAAAAAAAAAATTCTCCCACAAAATTAGAGAGAACTTTTTCTCAAACTTTTTCTCCACCGACATTTCAATACCTCTGGATAAGGCCGTTACTGTTAAACTGGTGCTCAAAATAGAGGCTAACTAGTAGATAAAGCATGTAGCATCCATTGGTACCTGTTTGGGCACACGTTGCAAATCCACAACATTGAAATCGAGATGCCTCTGGTGACAAACCCAGAGGATATAAAATCTACTAATTGGCATGTGTCATATCTATACACATTCATAATTCATCTGATGTAGTATGGATTTCAAAATAATGGA